GGGGGAGCTGCAGGGAGCCGAGGAGGCGCTGGATGGCGACACAGGCTGCGCTACGGCCCCGGGAGCCGGCCCGCCCGGGCGGCGCGCCCGAGCCCCCCAGGGGCGCCCGGACCGCGCTGGGTGAAAAAGCTGCTGGGGAGCGGGCTGCGACTGACTGCACGGAAAGTGAAGCCCGTCAGCAGTCCTCCTGCCCTTCTCTTGTGAGGGGTGGCAAGGATGGAAAGTCCAACTGCCTCAGCAATAGCCAAGTACAAATTATTTCAGAATTCCCTGGCTCTTTCGGCTCAGTGCAGCTCTCTGTAAGCTGCTCTGGGGTTTATCACAGTCGGGGGGGCAGGGAGCCCCCTGGTTTGGCTGGGTTTGCAGCCCTGGCACATGCACAGGTTATGCAGCTTCACCTATTTCTGGCACTGGCTCCCCATCTTTTTCCTCACTGCCCTCGGGTGCCTTCTGGCTGCGTGTGTGCTCTGGCAGCCTGGACCCCCGAGGGGCTTGGGCAGCCAGGAGGCCTGGGGCTGCCCCAGCATGGCTGGGAGCTGTGGTGGGCAGGGGAGCAGTGGGCCAGGGGCCAACTGGGAGCAGCTGTGCCAGCCCAGAGGCCACCACCCCTCTGGTCCCTCTCCAGCAACCCTGGGTCCTCTCTCTTTGCTTCAGATGCCTTCCCCCTTACAGCATCTCTGTCCTGCTGCTGGTCACACAGCAGGGTCTTAAATATTATGAGTGCAATATCCTTTGTGTTATTAAGGTTGAAAATCACCAGATTCTCTGGGGGATGTTTTTCTCCTCTGTAGGGCTGCCAATCTGACCCATACTGCTGAGTCACCAGGATGCTTTCCTTGGAAAGAAGGAAATGGCAGTTTCCAAAATGACTTCTGTGTAAGGCTGATCCTGTCTTGTATTTGTTGTTTCCGTTATGCTAAGCATGGTGCAGAAAGAATGGTCTGACATAAAAACACGCTGCAGGAATGCTCCCTGAAACAATGCAATGCTAATAACTTTTCCAAGAAAGAGGGCTACATTTCCTCCTATTCATCCCGCCTGCCAGTTCAACGTGAAGTTTCCTCCTTGTCTGCAAGTCTGGTGTTCCCCTTCACAAGGCTGCCTGGTGCGAGACCTGTGTGTGTGCCTGGGGATGCAGTTACAGACTGAGTCAGACATGAGCTTGGGGAGGCAAATGCCAGTAAATGACCGCTTCAGATGTCAGCAGCTCTGCCCTTTGCCCTTCCCACCCTTCCTGCCTGGGATGCCTGTACTTTCCCTGCCCTCCATCTCACCCAAAGTGTCCCTCCCTGC